GAAGATGAAGATAAAAGTCACGAGCACAAGCACAGAACCAGTTGAAATCAGTAGTATAAGAATTTGGTTAACTCCACCTTCCAAATCTATGAATAATGCTTTTGAACAACATTATTAGACATTAGAGCAGGTATACCTGGATCTGTTGGTGAAGTTGCAGGCCCACCGTCAGTTGCAGTAGTGTCCGTGCCGGTAGGTTTCACTGTTGTAGTCTCACCAGGTGCTATTAAGGTCTCGATTGGTGTTGTGGGTGCTGTTGTAGTCTCACTAGGTGATATTAATGTCTCGCTTGGTGTTATTGTGGGTGCTGTTGTGGTCATGCTAGGTACCATTGTGGTCTCACTGGGTGATATTGTGGTCCCCCTTGGTGTTTTTGTGGGTGCTATTGTGGTCATACTGGGTGCCATTGTGGTCTCGCTTGGTGTCATTGTGGGTGCTGTTGTGGTCATGCTGGGTGCCATTGTGGTCGGCTCACTGGGTGACATTATGGTCTGGCTTGGTGTTATTGTGGGTTCAATTGTGGTCATGCTGGGTGCCATTGTGGTCGGCTCACTGGGTGACATTATGGTCTGGCTTGGTGTTATTGTGGGTTCCATTGTGGTCTCGCTTGGTGTCATTGTGGGTGCTGTTGTTGTCATGCTGGGTGCCATTGTGGTCTCACTGGGTGCCATTGTGGTCTTGCTAGTACCACTGGTGATAGTTGACACTATAGCTGTGGCTGTCGTAGGTGCGTTTGCACTTTTTGTCATGATAGTGGGTGTCATAGTGGCTGCTGTGTCTGTAATACTTGTGGTGAGTGCCATGTTAGTGCTGGGTTCTCTTAGTAGTTTTCAAAGTCTTGGCTCTTGTGGACATTACGATACTATACTCTTTGTCATAGCAGATGTGGCAGCAGTGAATGTGACTGTCATTAAAGTATGATCCATGTTCATATATGTCACCACATAACTTGCAGTGCTGGTATACTGTGGGCTGGTTATCATGATGTTAGTTGTTGTGATGCTAGGATTTACTGCTGCATTTGTTGTAGCAGTGGAAGCAGTCGGTGTCGTTGTAACACCAGAAGCCTGTTTAGTAGTGGATTGAGCTTGACTTTCTGTTGACATTGTCATCATGACATAATTATTACTCAGACTCATATAAGTCCCTGGTATGAACACAGTAGTGGTTACTGTATTAGGACTAATTGTTTTTTGGGTGGGGGGAGTAATACTTGGGTTGGTAATGAAAGTGCTGCTGATAGTCTGGATATTGGTTGCAGCTGTAATAATACAGACGAGGTGCAGGGGAAAAAGTCTATGAACAAATGGTATTTTTAACACATTTGAATAAGGCAGAAAACAAGGTCACTCGTATCTATATAATTAACACATCTTAATGATAAGGTATTTAATTGTGCAACTAAGTTATCAATAGTCTCACCGCTGGTGCTTGTGGTGAAAAAACCACTCTGACTGCTAAAAACTGCTGCACAGAAAGTAAGCATATGTAGTATGTGAGCTACCTGGTAGTTTCTATACCTTCAACAAGTATAGTGATGTCACTGAAGCTGGAGTAACCCAATGTTGTAGCAGTGCAGCGGTAGATGATAGTGTTGCCAGTGTCATTCTCAGAGGTGGTCAGAACACTCTGATAGCCTCTCTCTGGAGATCCAGTTGTGGTGTAAAGAGTGGGCATCAGTTCAGATGGACCAGACTGAGAAAAGATGTCTATCCGGGTCCATTCTATGTCCACAGGAATACTCTGTCCATCAACCTCAGCTCTGGCAGTACAGTTGACTGAGAACTGATTGTTTGGTGAGGTAGTGAGTGATTCAGGTGAGGTTTCTACGTATACCAGCAGTGGATCTAATGAGAGAGTGATATAAGGACATGGTGGTTGGAAGGAGAGGTAAGTGACTCACTAGCAATGACAGTGATAGGCCCAACCAGAGGACTGGGTAGGTGAGGTGACAGAGCCACTATGGAGATGTAGTAGGTGACTCCTCTCTGAAGACCATCCAGTGAGTGTGTGTCTGTCTCTCCTCCAGACACCCTGTCACTGATGACTGGTCCTCCCTTAGGCTGGTAGTAGATGACATAGCCAGTGACAGGATCACCTGGTGACTCCCAAGACACAGTGATATTGACATGTGTACTGTTGGACTCAGATATGACTGCAGTAAGATTGCCTGGCTCTCTTGCCACTAAACATAAGTGCCATAAAATAATGCTTAATGCAATGAAATATGTATACCTGCAATTCTCTTTGAGCCACTGACTTCAGTCATAGATGCCTCAGGTTTATAGTCTCTAATATTGTTGCTGATGGTACAGTTGTAGGTCCCATTTCTTCTTCCTCTCACTCTCAATCTGTTGTCATAGACAGAGTTGAGAGATGTGTCCAGTATGAGCTGACTGGTCTCATGATATCTGTCTTCCTGTACTGGGACTCCATTTACTGTCCACTGGACAGTTGTGGCAGGTCCTCCATGAGTACGGCAGGAGATAGTGAATTCAGGAACACTTGCTCTGAGCTCAGTGTGTAGAGTGAAGTTCATAGACAACAAGACAAGCTGTCCTGCAATTTGGTGTATTAAAAGGTAACATTGTATTTTAGCTCACCTTGTGATCTTATAATGCTGATGTAGGTGTAGAGACTCTGCACCTCTCCACTGGAATCAGGTATATCACATCTCCACAGTCCTGATGTGTGGTCAGTACAACCTCTCTTGCGGTGTAGACTGATCACTCCATCTCCTCTAGTGACATACAGACAAGTGGTCCCATCTGCTCCCTGGTAGACTGGTCTCCCACTCTCATCTCTCCAGCCACCAACATCAGTGTTATTGCAGCAGTTTACACTGTCAGTCACACACTTTAGAGCACGATCTCTCATCACCAATATCATTATAGTAGATGTAGGAATTGTTGGACAGAAAGTGCCTCTCATGTTCAAACTGAGGCAGTGACTGGCAGTTCCCTAAACTCACTAAACTCAGTAAGAGTATAAACAACACAACAGTCATTGTAGTCCTGGTTAAAGAGAAGACAATGGTAAAGGCTTTTCTGGCTACAACAATCTCTCTGCATCCACTTGCAAAGGGATATGTTTATACAATTTTGAGTTTACTTAACAATAAACACTGTGATGTGCGCATACTTGGAAACTTGGTTTATAT